GACCCCCTCATCACTGTCCCATCAGTGGGGCTCTCAGGGGCTTCAGCCGCAGCTCTGCAAGGGAAAATCACGTGGAGACTGTGGTTAGGGTGGTTAGATTCTGGGCCTCGGTCGTATTCTCCCCTTCCAACATGGAACTTCAGGCTAGGTGAGCATTTGGGGCAGAACATGAGTGGCCTGTAGCAGGCGCTGCAAGCAGGGTGGACAACACGAACAGCAGAGGCTGCACACGGCAGGGTGGGAAAGGAAGTTCAAGTTCATGGTGGCGATTCAGCCCAGCTTCTATCTTAGCTGTACTCTCCCCACCCCACCCTGGGGCCCAAGATTCTGCTTCACAATCTGCCCCCACCCCCAGGCCTCCTGGAAGGTGGCACCCCTGCGGGTGAATTTTTCTGAGAAAATTCAATATAGAGTAAACGGATTCATCAAACTTTTGAAAACTAGGAAGTGGGACTGTCACAGTTAATGCTGAGCAAGGGTGCCGTGCTTAGTGCTTGTCTGACGTGCTACAGGACGCAAAGCAAAGCCCAGAAAATGACACCACTTCCAATGACAGTGTCCTTTACTAAGTCACTTGGGCAGGGTGACACCAAAACAGTTGACGCGGGTTTGCATGACGCATGGCTTCCACCGGCCACGCCGGGAGCCTGCACACTGCTTGCCGTTCGGGTTTGTCTGGGCTCTGCCCCCCTTACTGACTGCTAAACAACCTTATTTCTATTTAGTAATGAAGGATTTGTGGTTACTTACAATTTCAGACACTGGGATTTGATACAGTTACATGTCTTTTTAGAGTTTGTGTTCCATGAACTAAGAGTTACTCTATAAAGATTAAAAAAAAATGTATTCAGATCGTTACTCTTTAAAGAGAGACTTAGCTAAGCATGGGGTGTTTCGGGACAACTACTGAAGGTCTCGCTCGGCACCTGACAGCTTAGGTATTATTTCCAGGTGCCTGATCATGAAATGCCAATTCCAGCCTGCTGCCCAGAGAGCCTGCTGGGGCGTGGGGGGGCCTACTACTCTCCCCTCCCCAGAAAGCCTTCCAAGGGTTTCTTCCCCAGTTCTGCTTAAACCTCTATTGTGTGTGGGGCCCCTCCACCAAATAGCTCTTGGTGGTTTTATTTTTTGTATTTTATAAAACCTGAACACAAACAGGAAGTATGAATTAAAGAGCAATAGCTGATCCAGCGTTCGTATTGCTACAGCACACTAGAGCTGTCGCACTGTCATATTACCAACAACATTAAAGCGTATTTTGAGTGGATCATGTGATCACTGGGGACCCCCCGACCCCCTCCTAGCTTCTCTTTTGAGAATTAGTCCAGAAGCCACCTTCAGGGGCATCAGAGGACAAACATGTCCTGGCTGCTGGGTTAGAAGTCGGGGAAAGTTCCCAAGCATTGCTTGGAAATGCTGCTCACTGAGGGAGCTCCGGATAGTGGTCGTGTGTGGGGTTTGCTAGGTTATGGAGAGAAGCAGAGGCACATGTTCAGAAGCACCCGTGATAAGGGCTCTCCCCGGGTGTGCGTGGCCACGTCATCGTGCGGTGTGCCCTGGTGATGACGTGTGCGGGCCGCCTTTCTGAAACCAGCGGCTGCTTCCGGGTAAGACACGTCTCAGCCGGGGCCCCCACACCAGTACGTGGCCACACTCGGTGCTGACCAACCTCTCCGGCCACCACACAGAGCACAGGAATTACTCTGGCCCTTTCGCTCTGTGTTATAATAAATACAAGTGCCCTGGAGAGACTGTGCTGGCCGAAGCCCTTTGCCCTGCCTCGCACACCAACCGTCTTGAGTCAGGATGGAGGTCAGAGCTGAGCCCACGCTGCTCTCCACTCTGGCGTGCCTGACTTACGGGCCCTCCGCCACAGCTCTCACCGTCTGTTTCTGTTGAGTTGACACCCCCTCCCCGCCCCTCAGAAAAGCTAATGGTACCCAGTTCATGTACAAGCTGCTAATTGCTACTTCTTCTGGAGAGGTCTCTTATTATTTTTAACATAATGTCTTCAAACTGTGTCACTGACGCTGTATTGATTTATTACTCTAGTTCCGTTTTCCCTTTATAGATAGGAGACTTACAACTTCTGCCCTCGTGGGTGCCCAGAGGTGGCAGGTGTGGCTGGCTGCCCTGTGGCCCACCCACCGTGGACCAGAAGTGAGCTGTTAGGGGAGAGCGTGTAGACAACTACTCACTGCCCGGCCCTGGGCCCTCGCAGACCTGCCCCTGACCAGCGGGACTAAAGCTCCTTTAAGAACTGGGTAGGGGCACGCGGAACATCCCAGTGCTGACCTGCTCTGATGTGGAAGGAGAGAGTACAATTCAGTGAGTACCGACAGTGTCAGCAAGATGTCAGCAGGCATTTACTAAGGGACATCATGTGGCCAGAACTGGGGTAAGTGCTTCAAGGGACGCCAAAAAATACACACTTTTTAATTCACAGCGCCCGTCCTGGAGGAACCCACCAAGTAACTGCGGACACGCAATGCACACAATCGAAACATTAGAGAATGGAAGATAGTATATAATCAACGGTTACATGGCTTGATCCTGACTGCAAATGGTATAAAATTCAGACACAGAATAGTTTCTAGAAAGAAGAAGTTAAAACAGAACAAAATACTTGTGAAGGAAGTAAAACCTGACTTCAACTTTTAGGGCTGTGAGGTTTTCCATTATTGGTCAAAAGGACGTTTCAGTTGAAATAACAGTACAAAGACATCACATTTGGAATGAGCACAGTGTGGTGAAGGGACAGTAGGGGACACTCCGGCTGTACTGGAAGCTACCGGGAAAACACGTCCATGGCTGTAACGACATTTGACTACCTCTTATGCCAATCTGAAAACTGCAGAGTTGGACGAGAGTTGGACAACTCTGCCTCAGAAAAGCATTGCAAACGAACTGCTCCACAATGAGTCAGGGCCTCATCTTTAAGAAAAAAACGTCCAGAGAGCAGAATCTTGAATATCCTTTATTATAATCTTCATTATATTACCAAAAACAGCATCAATGATGCATCAGAATTCACATTAACACCTGATTATCAGGTTATTAAAGCTATAGAGGGGAACAGGACATGGATTTTTATTATTAATGTGATAAGCTAGTTAATAAGTTAGCCACTTGACCACGTGACTCTGAGGACCGATGACCGGGTGAATTCACCCCGTGGCCCGCCGGCCAGAGGCGCGAGTCGACCTGCTCCTATGCCATCTACTAGGCTAGACACGCTTGAGCCACGTGGTGCTGACAGCGTTCCCCTCCGATGTCTTTAGACCTAGTCGGGCCTTGCTGTCTTGTGGAAGGAGTCAGAAAGGAAGCTAGTGAAGCACCTAAGCAGGTGACGAGGCTCAGCGAGTCAGCTGTGGTCGGGACCCACACAGAATGAAACGAGCGGCAAGCAGCCTCCCGACTGCTGCTTCCCACAAACAGCAAGTCAGCGGGGACTGCAGACCATCAGTGCTGGCCATGTTGAATACAAAATAACCAGGGCTGATTCTGCGCACCGACATCAATCAAGTAATTATTTGCTGCAAAAAAAATGCAAATACCAAGCTCATGCTGTTCCTGGCACATCATTTATAACAGAAAAATCTTTTAGGACCTGCATAATTACTTCAAAATAAAGAAAAATATGTGACTGATCGAGAAAACCCAGGGTAGGCTGGAAGAGGGGCAGGGGATGAGGGGTGGGAGAAGCAGTGGAAACGCCTTGGTGGCCTCGGAGCGTGGTGGCTGTGACAGCACAATACAGCTTAGGAGCCCAGTTCCCGCCAGGCCAGCATTCTGGACACACTAATGCACACGGCCAGGTGCTCCCAGGTTACAAGAAGATAAAGTGACCGTGACATCTCAGGTCGTGCTGCAGACCCAAAACTGGAATGCTACCAGCAGAGCCTACAAGTTGCTTCCGTGGTTTTGTCTGGCCCAGAAATGTTGAGGCCAGTTACAATCACGGCAACCACATCCCCTCAGAGCCTTCGCACCCAGACAATGGAGCGGGGAGAATGGCTCCACAGGCTCGCTGCATTCAATGAACAGAAAGTCGGCAGCGGACATGGGCAGCGTCACAGCCAGCAGAAGGAGCGACTGCTAAAACAGAAGCAGCAAATCACATGAGCCACCAACACTCTACAGTGACAGTGCAGAGGGGAATGTCCCTGAATCCGGACGCCCCCAGGACTCCGCAGTGCAGTGCTCACTTAGCCTGTCTGCCGCCCGAGCGTGGCTGTCTGCCAGCAGGCAGAGCGCGGCAGGAGCCCCGGAGCTCTAGAGGCCATGCCCACAGTCCGTAACCTCCTTGGTCTGGTTTCCTCCAGGCCCTGGGATGTACACTGCACAGACTGAGCGCCAAAAAGCTCTGGGGAGCAGGAGCAGAATCATCTCCAGAACCAACAAAGGGCTCAACGAGTGGGAAGGGCTGTCCCGTCCACTGTTAGCACACGAGTGTTAGCTCCACGGAGAGTTTCAACCAGAGTGGTTAGTTTAATTAGTTACAATCACAGGCACCGCTGTACAATGAACAAAGGTCCCAGGTGAGCGGGTGCCAGGTAAGCACCTGGAGACCGGGTGCCCCGGCCGGCACCTGTCCGAGCGCGTGTGCGGACCTCGCAGGGCGGGCACACTAAGACGACCACCGATGTGAGGCCACTGCCACGCCGTTACTTTTACTTACACTCATGACAGCAAAATAGAAACAGGACAGCTCGTGTCAACCAATGTGAAACCAAGGCCGAGCTGTGAACGGCAGTGAGCCTCTGAGACCCTGACACTGGACAGCAGACAGAGCGGGAGCCCTGCCAACAACGGCCAGACAGACATGCACAGGGACACTGCTGTGGCACTGCTAGTGGCACTGCTCAACGCAGGGTCTTTTCGGAGTCACGAGGTTACAGGTAAAGCTAATTGTATAACTTAGAAGAAAATCACAAACGTACCCAAGAGCCTCTTAAACTCTTATTAAAGTAAGCGACAACAGTCACTTTGATCCTTACCCAGCCAAAGCGATTTTGGGTGGTCCTGGAAGAGCCGATCCCGAGGTGAAAGAAGGCCCGTTGACTATGGACGGTAAAGCTCCGTTGTCCAGCTGTATAAAGTCAAGGCAAGCAAACACCGAATTAGCCCATGTGTTACATGCTTCAGCCAGCCAGCCCCTCGGTGCAGACAAAAGGAGCCCTTTCCTTCCACAGTGTTACAACATGTGGGCCTTGTCACCACGATGATTCCTCTAACCCCTGAGCAGGCTCCAGCTGGGGCTGTGCAGGGCAGGCCGGGGCCCTGGCCATGGGGGTGCGGACGGGCAAAGAGGGAAACGGGTCACGGATGCTGGGCCAGGCCACCGAGGACCTGGCAAGTGATCCACACAGCCATCGGTCGGCTGGCCAGGAACATTGTCACGGTAAGCTTTTTCATTTTTATGAATGACAAATTGTGAAGTAAATTCAATTATAAATTTCTGTAAGTAAAAATATCCTTTATTATTATACCCTGTGTATAACATAAGAGATCTTGACATCTGAAGTCTCATTAGCAACCACTACTTTCTCATCTATTCAAAAAAACCCTATTTTGTAGTCAGTTTTAACAAATTCGAAAGCAATGTCATAACCCCTGGGTTGCCCACGTCCTTTGCTTTGGTGGTTCTCATGCGTCTTCTCTGTACCACTCAGCGGCATGGCTCACAGACAGACGGCAGTCCCGGGGAAAGGGAAGGGCAGCGAAATCACCACTGACCTAACTGTCTTCTTATCAGAAGTTTGAAGAATTAAAAATATTGGGTAAGTTTAATTTTGAGAGTATTTGTATATATCACAGTTAACCATCCTATCCTTGTCCTGCTCTCCCCCGAAAACTTAAAAATTCCCCTGAAATTTAAAAATAAGGTTTATTTAAGAAGTATGGTCTGGGAAAAATACCATTTTATTCATCCTCCTCATCTTCTCTCTTCCTCCTCTTTTTAAATTGTGTGTAGTCACTGCCAGTTGGTGCTCGAGGACACCAAGAAAGCGCCCTGGACCAACTCCTCCTGTGCAGATGCCTGGAGCTGCCTGGGGCCTCACCCCAGGGCCCCCACCTCTCTGGTCTGACCAAGAGCTGGGCTTCTCTCGTCTCGCTCACTTCACAGGAGGGAAGTGTCCACAATTACTCCAGCCACCGTTTCTTTCACAGTCACCAGAAACCGACTTGTTGGGCCCATGTCTCCATGTGGCGGTCCAAAGAGCTTTGATTCTTTTGGAGAAAGGATCTCGCAGTTCTCAGAGCCGAGGCAATTCTTTGCATAAAGTAGGAACAATGCACTTTGTTTATTGAGTCCCAAAGTCAAGCAGAGAAAGCGAGCCATCTTCTAGGTACTACGTAGGTGGTACTGCCAGGGCAGCTTTGTGCTAGAATCCAGGCTTTGCTTCTGCTGAGTGTGGCCACCCGGGGGTGACAGAAGTGAACCCTGAGGCAGACTCTGGTCATGTCACCTGGGCATCTAGCTGAAATGCAGGTTCTGCCCAGCGAGTCTGGGGCAGGCCCCACAGCCTCATTTCTTAGTAGCTCCCAGGCAGTGCTCATGCCCCAGGTCCACGCACCACACTGAGTAGTGAGGCTCTGAAGAGCATGCTAGGTCTGACAATTAAGTTCGCGCACTTATAGCAGCGATGTTGTAACCTTTTTTTGATATCAGAGGGATCACTCATTATGACTTTGTACCAAATGGACAGACAGTTAACCAAGTTTACTATTTGGAAGTGCTGAAAAGGCTGCATGAAAAAGTTAGACGACCTGAACTTTTCACCAACAAGTCATGGCTCTTGCATCACGACAATGCACCAGCTCACATGGCACTGTCTGTGAGGGAGTTTTTAGCCAGTAAACAAGTAACTGTATTGGAACACTCTCCTACTCACCTGATCTGGCCTCCAATGACTTCTTTCTTTACCTGAAGATAAAGGAAATATTGAAAGGAAGACATTTTGATGACATTCAGGACATCAAGGGTAATGCGATGACAGCTCTAATGGCCATTCCAGAAAAAGAGTTCCCAAATTGCTTTGAAGGGTGGACTAGGCGCTGGCGTTGGTGCATAGCTTCCCAAGGGGAGTACTTCAAAGGTGACCGTAGTGATATTCAGCAATGAGGTATGTAGCACTTTTTCTAGGATGAGTTCACGAACTTAATTCTCAGACCTCTTACAGAACTGGGGGTTTGGCAAGGAAGCAGGGTCCTAGGGATGCAGCACATGCACTGATAAAGTAATGGTCCCCAGGTCCATACACTGGAGAGGAAGCTGGAGACAAGAACAAACACAGCCAAGGCGAGATGGGGAGGAGGCTGTGGTTTGAAGGGGCATTTCTAGAGCAAGGCCTTAGAGGCGGGAAGGCAGGGCCGGTGTGCGCCTTTCTGAGCGGGGCTGACACAGCAAAGCAAGCAGGGCAGGTGCAGGGAGGAGGCGCGCAGGGGCCAGGAACCCAGGCTCCTCGGCAGGTACCCCCAGCACTGCGGTTTAGACTTGTCCGTCTCCTGCACTGATAAGTATCTCTCCCCTCCTGGCCAATGCATCATTTGAGAACTATGTATGTACTCAACAGATATTTTACTCTATTTACGCCCACTGCCTCCGAGATCTCCTCGAGTCTCGTGGTTGAAATACCACCTGTATGCTGATGACCTCATTCCTCTAGCCCAGAACTTCCTCACTCTGAACTCTGACCCCTACATGACATCATCACTTGGCTGTCTGAGAGACATCTCAAGTTTAAAAATATTGAATATACTGAACTCTTGGTCTCCCTCACATAACTTGCAGTGTCTCATCTTTCTTGATGGACACTCCGTCCTCCCATGCGTCCAGGCTGAACATCTGGGGGCCGTCCTGGACTCCCCTTTCTCTCACATCCCACATCCAGCCCATCAGCAAACCCGGTTGGCTCAGCCTTCAAAGCATCCCAACAAGCAATCTGTCACCACTGGCCTGAGCCACCCTCAGACAGAGGTTTGCCCCCTTTCCCCGTGCCCCTCCTCCGTGCCAGCCCCATTTCAGGCAGATGGAAAGCCACAGTCCTTCCACCACCTCTGACTCCCCCAATTCCATCCTCCCGCTCACTCCATCCCAGCCCCACAGGCCTCCTCGCTGTCTCCACAGCATGTGTGACCCTGTGCTGCACTGTCCCCATGCCTGGAATCTTCTTCCCCGTGATAGTCTCATGGCTCACTCCCTCCTCTCTTTCAAGATTGCACTCAAGGGCCAGCCAAGTGGCTCAGTTGGTTAATAGCTTGCTCAAGAGTGCGAGCTCTGAGCAACAGCATTGCCAGTTCGATTCCCACATGGGCCAGTGAGCTGCGCCTGAGCTGAGCTGCTGCTGAGCTGTCAACAGGTGGCAGGATGGCTCAGCTGGTGAGAGCACATGCTCCTAACAACAAGATTGCCTGTTCGGTGGTGGGTTATGCCCGCCCACAACTAAGACTGAACTCAGCACCTTGAGCTGAGCTGCCGCCCAGATGGCTCAGTGGATAGAGCGTGGGCTCTTAACAACAAGGCTGCCGGTTGGACTCCCATATGGGATGGTGGCTATGCCCACACACAACTAAGAATGACCATGGCACCTTGAGCTGAGCAGCTGCGAGCTGCCGATGGGCAGCTGGATGGTGACTGGACTTGGAGCTGAGCTTGCTGTGCCCTCCACAACTAAGACTGAAGGACAACAACTTGGCTGTTCCCCTTCCCCAATTCATTCATTCATTCATTCATTCATAAATAAATAAATAAATAAATAAATAAATAAATAAATAAATAAATAAATAAAGTCACTTAAGTGTCACCTTCCCAATGGAGCCAACTGCGTCCGCCCAGTTAAACCTGCCTCTCTCCCCACCAAACCCCGCCCCCGGGGCCCATCCTCTGCTCCCCTAGCCCACTATATAATTTACTTATTAGATTTTCTTATAGTGTGTCTTGCATGCTAAAATGTAAGGGCACAAGGGTAGAGTCATGTGTTTTGTTTTGGGGGTTCACTTAGCACTAGCTTGCTAATGTAACCGAGAGCCCTGCTGAAGGGGGAGCGGTCCCCATGTGTGCCAGGCTTTGCTGCAGATCTCAGGTGACAGAGACAAGTGAGACACCAGATCCCGCTCCTGTGGGGCTGGCATTCCTGGGGGTGGATGCACACAACCAACCAAACCCAAAACACAAGACAGTGATAGTGCTAGGCAGACGGGACAGGATCCGCGACAGTGAGTGGTGTGGACGCTACGGAGTTATATCAAGACTTAGGGAAAAGAGCAAGTTTGTCTTATAATTACATTTAATATTAATATATGCATATTAGCATGTAATCATAAAAGCATTTTAAACTTTAAAAAAGCATTTCCATAACACTGAGGAAGGTAAGGGATAGTCTACAATAGATCAAGTGGGTGGTAAGTGCTGATGGCAGGACCGGGGCCGTAGGGACGCACGAGGCCGCTCCCCAGGGCAAATGTGCCGTCTGGCAGAGGACCTTGGCTGAGACTCACCGTGTTCCTCCCTCAGAGCCTGATACAGTGGGAAGGTGTGCAATCCCTGCTAACTGTTTTCACTGTTGATTTTTAAATGGAGGCTAAATTATATGTCCTGAGTAATTCCAACTTTGACAATTGAAATGTCAAGAGACAATAATGTGCAATTATATTTTTTTTACTCAAACGATGACTTACTTGTTGTGTGACGAGATTTAATTTTGCTGGTACTGGCAGAAACCTCCCCACTAAAGCAGTCACTGGTTTGGGGGCATCTGTAAGGAAGACAATTAAAATTAATTGATACCATATATTGTCCCACTTCCACATGCGCATGGAAAAAAGTACAAAAATGGAGATGTGTCTTGGGATTATCATGTGCAAAGTCGTTTAAACTTATCCTGAGCTCCTGTTTCTATTTTTATTCTATAAAACCTTTTGGGTCAATGTTTTGTTTTGTTTTTTAACTTATTACACCCTACTTAACATGAGCTTCCAGCAATAGTCTATTATGCTAAAAACTGCAGCCTGTGCCCAGGTTCCCAAACTGTGTGTCAAGAGGCCCTGGAGCGCCCAGCTGACTCACCAGGGAGCCACTGGACAATTTGCATTTTCAAAGAAAGCACAGTGACATCTGTTGGACATCATGTGAACTACCTTTGCTTTACCGTGTACTTTTTTCAACTGGATACTAAGTACGCATTCTTTTTTCATCTGGATACTAATTTGTTAGGCTGTAAATACTTATTAGGCTGGCTATTTGGACCAAACTGCTTACCTACTAGAGCTGACAGGTATTTCTTTGGCTTAAGGGTGCATTGAAAAACATTCCTGAGACACAAAGGGCCTGTGAACCTCCGTGTTCATGAGCCCAGTGGAAGGCAAGGTGTGTTTGGTCTCCTGCGTCATCCAGCTGGGCACACTTCCTGCTCCAGGCTTAGGCGTCCTTTGAGTGATGCTACCCTGACACTTAGGTAGCAGGATGCATTTATTTTATGGTGATATTTAATATGTTCACAACATAACAGATATCTGGGCAGGGGATTATATGACAAGGAAATAGACTTGGGAAGCATTATATAAACCTCTCTGTCTATAGCTCTAAAGGCATTAGAATTTGCTGTGCGCCAGGATTAAGGACAAGCCCCTCCCCACCTGTGTAGAGGGTCAGACGCGTTCTGGCTTACAGGGAACGGAGCCAGGAAGCCCACGGCTGGTGTCGTAGGAAAAGGAACTGTCATGGAGGCGTTTAATCTGTCCCTGGATAAGGAGACCGCCTGGATGGAACAGGAGGCACAAGCTCCTTTCTGCCCTGGACTGCGAAGGGCCATGGACATGCCATCTGGGTTTACTGCTGATTTAAACTATCGGCAAGGCCAGTGAGTCACCTGATAGTGAAATATTCTTGTTAACCCAGGAGTTAAAATAACCCAGTGATGTATACAGTCCCCATAGAGATGCCCAGTTTCCAAAAATTGGTGTCTAACTTCTGTAAACACAATCCTCAAAATGCCATTTCGTGTCTCTTTAATCATTCACAAGGCATTTCAGGATAATCAACCACTTATATGTCATTTATTACTATTGTGACAGCTTAAAGAAGTTTCTGAGTAAACGAGTATCAGATAAGTCAGCATTTAATATAGTTATTTCAGAACTCATGGTAATTAAAGCAGTGCGACACTTCTCGTTGTTTACACGAAAATGTTTACACTAAAATTTAGTTTATGCCGCAGCTGAACAGTCCACTGCCCACCCAGTCTGGGACAGGTGGTGTCTCAGCTCAAGCGCCTCCAGCACCCACTTGTTGGTATGCATTGTCACCTGTGAGGACCACAAAGCTCTCTGTAGCTAGTGGAGGTAGAGGACAGCTGTCCAAAGATATGGGATAGTCAATGCAATGTACGTAAATTAGTCCGTAAAGATATTTTTTTCTATTCTTAGCTTACTACTATGGGCTATGATGTTTGCAAATTGCCTAACTGCCTATTTCACTTTTACTCCATATACAAAGCCAAACATGTTCACTTACCAACTTATATATATGAAATAATTGTTTAAATTAATTTACTTTGTACCTGACTGTGGATAATCATTTTGGTCTTGATACTGGGGAACCAAATGGAGTGTTTTCAGCTCTCTTGTGCCAGAATTGTCTATGCACAGCATTTGTGTGCCCCCTTTCAACTGACATATCACCTAAAATGGAAAATAATGATCAGGTTGCATTTTTTAAAAATATCCAGTAATACGAACCAAAATAAAATGGAGTCTGAGAACACAGCTTCAATCTGGAATTACGTTTGAATGGAAAATGGGACACGACAGATCTGTTCTGAGGGCACGCTCTCCGGGGGGACACGCGCAGGCCATGGACAGGGTGCGGGCAGTTCCTGCTCTGCCTTTTCCTGCAGGCTCTGACCGCCAAGGTTTAGGGTGAGGACCAGGTGACTGCACGGAGTGTCCTTCACTGTCCTGCTCCATGGTCTATGTGAGTGGACACTGTGCCAGTCTGCCCAGCCCCCACCCCGTTCAGATCCAGTTACCTCTAAGAAAGACTTCGTCCCCTGACTGTATCTCTGTAACTGGTCACATACTTAGAGTAATCTTTAATTTTAGGATGCTTGTTCTTTCCTGCCACATGCACACATTATTATTTAACATGTGGGGTTTGTTTTTTTTAATGTTTTTACTAATCGGCCATCTTGGACCTTCTCTAACATGTGGGATTTTTTTTATGCTCATTAATCTTATTGTCTACACATACAATTTAGAAAGGTTAATCCAAGAACTAGAAAATTCTAAGAAGCCATGTCAATCTTCCGGGGCCTGACTACCACTCTCAGATCACCTGGTTGGATTCCGACCATAAGAGAACCCTCAGCGAGCCAGGTGAGTCATCAGTCAATCACACCAGTCAAGAGCAGCATGGGTGGAGCCCTGGCTGGGTGCAGGCCTGTCGGAAGCATGGTATAAAGGCAAGGAAAGGCATGGTATAAAGGCCGTGCTTTCTGGCCACACACAGCTTCCAATTCCAATGGTAAAACCACAAATACCCACAGAAGCTGTGGTCTCTGCCTTTAGGTTGCCTTTGGGTTTCTTAGACAGGAAAACCCAGATGAGCATAAGGATCCACGTGCAGTGACCTGCCCACAGGCAGATGATCTGTCCGGCAGTCAAGGTCTCCCAGCTCCTTGGGACCTGTGTGCACGGGAACCGGCGTGCAGGCACCGGGGAGATTTGTCCCAGGTAACACTCTCTATTTGGGGTACCTGTGTAACCTCGCTTCTTCTCCGCCTGCTGGCGGATCACTACCCCTCTGACAGCTGCCACCAGAGACTCCCCAGTCCGTAAGTCTCCATAAACCTGTCTGGCACAGCCACCTGGTGCGTTCTTTGGGCTGCGGCTTCTCAGGCACAGATCTTGGGACAACTCGGACTCAGTCCAGACGTGAAGTTACCAAAATGACACATGTGCAGCCTGTGTTAAGCAGCGGCTGCTGAGCACTGCGTCCTACCTTCAGCTCATCCTGACATGGATAAGAGACCAGCATTCATGTTTGACTGGAATTTTATTTGTATTTGGAGGATGAAATTATACCCTCCCCCCCCATATATACATACACACCCGCAACTGAAAGGCTCAGAGTGGGCTCTCCAGGCCCGTCTCCTGCCCTTCCTGGAAGTGTGCTAACATCACTCAGTGGTCTGGTGTAACTGAAAGCGGTCTCATCCAGCTCGCCTGGGTCCCGCGTCCTGGAAAAGCTTTGCTCTCAGAGCAGAGCCGTAAGCAGAGGCGAGTCCAGGCATATGCCACAGCTAAGCCAAGTTCACAGTGAGCTCATTTTCAACTATTTCCCAGCCAAGTGCGTGCCTTAGAGCAAAGGCCTCCTTGCTCAGGATAAAAGCTGCTTCAGGAAAAGCAATCTGGGTTCTTTGCTAAAGGAAGGCTTCGCGGCCAGACTCCAGGGCTCCCTGCTTCCCAGGCCTCACTGCTCAGACCTGGAGTCCAGCATGCATTACTTACAAGCACACTAGTAACATCTCTATTCTCTTATCATTAAAATGGAGATCAAGATAATGCCTACCCTACAGAGCTGATAAGAGGATTACAAATGTGCAGCAACGTCCCATAAGCCACAGATGTCCGTGATGACCTCTCCTATCCGAGTGTTACTTGGTGTTACTAGGAATTTGGGGGCAGCCTCTGGCCTACAGCCACAGGGCCACATCTACCCTCCCACCGCCAGGCCAAACCACACGCTCTGCTGCCTGCCCATCCCTGGGCCGACCTGGGTCTGTTCTGACTGATGTGATTTGTGGCTACCATCTTATAAAACACAGCAAGGTCCTAATCTTTGCTTGATTTGCTAAGACCAAGTAGAAATGAGGATCTTGGAGGTGAAAGGACTATTAGAAAGGCTCTGATTATGTCACTCTTGAGAGATGAGACAACCAAAATGTGATTCACCATTTAAGCCGAATGAAAAACAATGCCTGAAATACCCATTGCTGCTGACTTAGCAACAATGAGGGTGAAACAGTAACACAGTGTCAGTCAGTCACATTTCCTTTGGCGTAATTACCATTGGGTTCAAGTCCTTCTTATGAGAGCAGCCCGAGGCCTCCTCTGCTTCCTGGGATGATGGGAACTTGCAAGACGGTTCCTGGGCAAGATGGCTTTGCTGACTTGCTTCCTCCGGATTGTTACTGATAATCGTGCCACCTCCTTCCTTTAGTTCAACCTTAAAAAGCAACCGTTGAGAAGTCACGTTGTGGACACTGGGTTTGGCAGGTGCATAATATAGAAACTCTCTGTAGAAGCTCCATTTTTAAAGCAAAGGGCACCCTCACCCTCAGAGCCTCTCTTCCTCACTGTTACTCTCCCCACCATGGCAACAAGTCACCTGACAAGCCTCGCTGGGGACTGAGGACCTCGAGGACCAAAGTCATCTGCCCACGAGGTGTGCAGATGTGCTCTCGATGTGGTGCTTGTGTTGTTGCAAAGATCCGGGATAAGTAACTGAAAAGGTTCCCCGGCAGGTCCCCTGGGGCTGCTCGAGGCCCTGCTCCAACAGCCCTGGTAGTCTTCTGGGGCCTTCCCAACCACCCGCGGAGGTGCCAGCCCTGCATCACTGCTCTTAGAGCATGCTCATTGGGGCAAATGAAATGTCCTGGTCCATTATTTGCTTCCTCCTCAAGAAGCCTGGAATCCCCACTGATGTTTAGTAACACTTAGAATGTAACTTAGAAGGTGTTGGTAGTAATATTTATAACAGTAGCGCTTTCCTGACTGAATAGGACAATAATCAATATGAAGCAGCAAGGGTAGGGAACTACCAACTGCCAACTTTGTTTTGAAGAGTCCTCTGCAACAACTGTTAACTCAATGGCACAGCAGCAAAATTACCAAAAAACTGGGAGCAATGCCGATCATATTACTAAAAATCAACAGAATTAAAGGGAAATAAAAACCCCAAAAGGTCTCAGTTAAAAAAATTACCATCACAACTGAGGGTGTGAAAATTGGGGTGCTTTTTAAATTTGATAAGACTGGAAGGAGGATTGAAAAACCAGTCAACCCACACTATGCATCGTCCCTCGCCCTCCTTAACCTCCCACCTGCCCAGCTGCCTGTTACAGAGCATAGGTGAGTCCTTTTAAAAAGACAGTGCTTTGATGGGAGCCATGCTAGCATGTGGCAGAAGGTGCCAGGACATGTCGGGCCTGGCAGCAGATGGACAGCCTGACATTTGAAGCCACCTGAGCAGGTTCTGAGGAAGACCCCTGCACTGGTGAAGGCTGGGGGGACCAGTTGCGCTCTGTGGTTCTCCTCTATCAAATGGAGAGGCTGGCAGGGGCCCCAGCCTTTTCTTTACATTAAGGAGCCGTGATTGCGCTCAAAGGAAACCAGGAAGCAGGAATCCAAGATCCCACCGCTGTGGCTCATATATACCAAGTCAGACCCCGGCCGCCTCAACATCACCTCAAAAGGTTCCACAAAGGCATCATTTATGCTTATTAGAATGATTCTGTGGTTGAGTCGTCTAGTTTTCCCAACTAGATCCCTTAGGGATCCAGCATGCATTTCCTTGGGATCCTTTGCTTCCATTAAAAATGGAATTGTAGGGCCGGCCGAGTGGCTCAGTTGGTTAAGAGCTCGCTCAAGAGTTTGAGCTCTGAGCAACAGCAGTTCGAGTCCCGGCCCGAGCTGAGCAGCCGCTGAGCTGCCAACAGGTGGCAGGATGGCTCAGCTAAAAAAAAAAAAGGAATTGTTTCATTTCAGCAAGAACAAAGCAGAAAATGACCAGTGCTTTTTCATAGTAATGGAGAGGGTAGTTAGCTGAGGACGAGCAAGAATGCGCTCTGACTTCTATTACACGTACTTGGAGAACCATCACCGAGTAGCAGAGGGGAGCTCTAACATGTTGATTTCAAGGCTCACCAAACACCAGTGTTAGCTGTGGGTTACAAGCCTTACAAATCGTAAGGGGAAAAAATTAAATACAAGAACACGAGAACCCAATGACACTGCATTTGTCTTCACAGACACTAGTTACTCCAACATAAACAGGAATCCTTTCCTAAAGCCGGGAGAGCAGTCGGGTAGGGTTAACGTGCTTGCTTGCTGTCTGCAGTCTGCAGGGCTTAGGCCAGGTTTGAACCAGGGACCCAGGACATAATTCGCCTCCAGGTAGAATGGCTTGGCAGGCGATGTATCTCTAATTACAAAGGGAGGGATGCACCCTGTTTGGAATGTGTGACATCCAACCAGGGATGCTAGTGGCACAGGAAAATCGCTTGTGGAGGGGGACCCCGGCGTAGACAGCAGGCTCACGTCCCTACTTGGGGAGGGGTGAAGCGGGTACTGTGCCTGTTTCCCACACGGATCTTACTGGAATCACCCGGACACCGGAGTGGGCGGCTCCTTCCCGGGCCCAGGCGCCCAGGGGCACCACGGCAGGACTTCTGTGAGGGGTCAGCAGGGAGGACAAGAAGTGCAAGTTGTAGGCTTGCTGCGGCGGCGGCGGCGGCGGGGCGGCGGGAAGAACCGCGTCCTCTAGGGCGTTGAGCTCGGGGAGACTCGGATACTCCCCGAACAATTCCTCCTCGTTTTCATCCCCCAGGAGCTCGACATTGACTTTATTATTGCAGTTCACGTTTAGCGGGGGGTTGAACGCGTGCAGGAGGGGCTCTTTTGGGTCCGCGGGGCTCAGGTATGCGTCTTGTAACACGTGGAACTCCTCTTCCTCGGCCGTCACCGCCACCGGGGCTTTCAGCGGCATGTCTTCGGAAACAAACCGACCCTCCGCGCCGAACAGGTCTTGCACGATCTCATCCTCCGGACTCGACATTCCGTCAAGCAGGGTGGCTTCTTCCATGGCCCCTGACCGGACCTCGGGCGGGGCATCACCTAGCGCCCTGCTCCAGGCCGGATCGGCGTCGAGCTGCGCACCTGCGAAGACGCAGCCAGGTGAAGCGGGCGCCGCCCCCACCCCGGCCCACCGGCTGAGGGGGAGGGGTCCTGCTGTTTCCGAGGGGCCGGACAGGGAGCCCCACTGCCCTCCACGGCCTACCGGAGGGCCCTGCCGCTCGCCACAAGCTGACCAGAGGGTCCCACCCCCCCACAAGCCGACCAGAGGGTCCCGCCCCCCCACGAGCCGACCAGAGGGTTCCGACCACCCTACACAAGCCGACCAGAGGGTCCCAGCCCCCCACGAGCCGACCAGAGGGTCCCGGCCTCCCCCCACGAGCCGACCAGAGGGTTCCGACCACCCTACACAAGCCGACCAGAGGGTCCCAGCCCCCCACGAGCCGACCAGAGGGTCCCGGCCTCCCCCCACGAGCCGACCAGAGGGTCCCGGCCCCCCCAAACAAGCCGACCAGAGGGTCCCGCCGCCCCCGAGATGCTGACCAGCGGTTCCCACTGTCCCCTCAATGATGAGGGCTCACAGTCTCTCTTCCCGCCTGCAGTCCAGAGACCGGGCCCGGGGCCAAGGGGAGACCAGACGGCGGCTGGGGTCTCAGGAGCCGAAGGGGTGCTGCGTCAGGCCTCGTCAGAGGGGCCTGCCTGGGGCTTCTGCAGGACCCAGCGCAGGTGCGGCAGTTAACGGTTGGGGAGTGGGCGGGGCCGGGTTGAGGGGCCCGCGGGCGGGGAGGGGCGCGCGAGGGTGGGTGGGACAAGAGCCGGGCGGGGTCGAGGAGTGTGAGGGGGTCGCAGGCAGGAGTGTGAGAAGCACTCGGAGGAGGCGGGGCCGGTGACAGGGGGGCGGGGCGCGGAGAACAACTGCTCTGCAGGGGCCGGCTGTTGCGTGGAGATGGACAGGGAAGAACACTCCCGGGCTCAGCAGCTCCAGGCTCAGGTGGGGAAACTGAAGCCCCAGCACAGCTGGTGGGGCTCCGTAGCTTGACTTCTGACCTTAGTCTTTAAAATAGACTTGCTCTGCTCCCAAGCTCCACGAGACACTACCAACCAGGGAGCTCTGTGGCTAGACGGAGGGCCAGGGACTTGCTCAGGCATATTCCCAGCCAAGTATGCGCCTCACATCCCTGGTGCAGGAGCTTGGGATGCGTCACTGAAAGCTGGGTGTTCCTAGTCAAATATAAGCAACCCAAAATTGGGCCAGCTGAGTGGCTCAGTTAGTTAATTAAGAGCGTGAGCTCTGAGCAACAGGGTCACGGGTTCGATTCCCACATGGGCCAGTGAGCTGCAAGCCAGAGCTAAGCTGCCGCTGAACTGGTGGCAGGATGGCTCAGCTGGTGAGAGCACCTGCTCCTAACAACAAGGTTGCCAGTTAGACTCCTGCGTGAGATGGTGGGCTGCACTCTCCCCTCACCCTCACCCCCGCCCTCCAACTAAGATTGAACACGGCACCTTGAGCTGAGCGACTGCAAGCTACCAATGGGAGTCCAGACGACAACTGGGCTTGGGGCTGAGCTAGCTGCGCCTTCTACAACTAAGATTGAAGGACAACTTGGCTGTTCCCCTTCCCCAGTTCCCCAATAAAATCTTTAAAAAAACAACCCAACATTAATGACTGATGTTAAGGGGGAGAGGGAGTTGGTCAAGACCCAGAAGTAACCAGTACAACAAACACTCACGTGACGCACACTTTGGGTGAGGAGTGAGCTAACTCCACCCCTCACAGAAGCAAAGGTAAACACTGTCAAGAAAAGAGGCGAAAGCTTATTTAGGGCGTGGGCCCTGATCTGCCAATCCAACCAAGCAGAGTTGAAAGGTATTCTGGGGAGGGGCATGTACGGAAGGGGGCGGGGCGGGTAACTGTTAACGCTCAAGTATTTTTCATGTATAAGTATTGTTTGGGTAAAATTAAAATGTAAAACATCAGCTTCCTAATCTCATTTTTTAAATTTAATACTTTCCAAACAGTAGTAACCAAGACACGGCAACGCTGTGTACTATTTAGCAGTACATGTTAGCATTCAAGAAGCTCCAAGAAGAAAATAAAAAGTGAACAATAAAAAGAAAATAAATCCCCCCAAAATTATGTGCCGCTGAGAATTTCCAAATTTAAGGCACCGCCTTAAGTGTGCTAGGACTTCCTTATCTGAAAAATTATTCTGAGACATTCAAGTTGAGTTTAAAAGAACATAATATAATTCAAGTATCACCATTGGAATTTTCCTGTCGTGTGAATGGCTTAAAATATAGTCCCGGTAACTAGTTCATTACAAACATATGTGACTGGAAGTCTACTTGGAGAATTCACTTTCTGTCCTTGTGAGCAGGACTCCAGACAAAGCTCTATAGGCTTCTTCACATTAAAACTAGGATAGCTTTTTTCTTTAATTATACAAACGTAAACCCTCCTACTGAAATATTTATATATCACAGATAAAGCTGACATTCCTTTGAGCACCATGCCACTCCCAATCACACAGCCTTTTCCACTGTGTGTGTGTAGATTGCTTTACTCTTCATTTTATGGCTGGAATAATCACATCATGTTGAAATCAGCTGAGTTCAGGGGCCGGGCTGAGTGCAACTTGCGCTTCCCAAACTGTTGGGACCTAGGGCCGGCCGAGTGGCGCGATGGTTAAGAGCTGGCTTGGGACGCCAGAGGACCCCGGTTCGGATCCCACATACGAGGGCCAGTGACACTGCCCTCGGCAGCTAAGATGGTGAACGGCAGCTCGACCTGGGACTGGGCTGCCGTGGGTCTCCGGCGACGGTATAGGCTGCAGCCCCTGCTGTAGTGGGCTGCCATAGGCTACCGTGTGTGGCTGGCAGCCAGTGTGAGCGGCCAGCAGCCGCAGTGAGAAGCCGGCGACTGATCTGCCTCGCCCGGGCAGAGCGCAATGATGGTGCCAACTTGGGCCAGTGAAGCAACATCCTCCACCACTAGACTGAAGAGCAAAAGGACAGCAACTTGTCTGTTCCCCTCCCCGCAATTCCCCAATAAAACCTTTAAAAAAAACCTGTAGGGACCTAGAAGGTAGCTAACATAAATCCAAAAGTCCAAGTATTATAGAAAATAGTGAATAGCCCAAGTGAGTACGTCAGCCCCATTCACATCAGACCTTTACTGGGCAACTCCCATGCATCTGGCATCATGTACCGTGTCCATAGCCACCTGGACACCAAGCCGCATCACCAAGCCGCATCACCAAGCCAGACACAATCAAAATAAAAGCCAGGAACCTCTGTCAACACTTGTTGCTCCTAGACGCCTTTCCAGCCCCACTGATCAGCCAAAGCCAGCTGTCTTGTCATTCAGGTCTCAGCTCAAACCTGTTTCTAAATCAGCCTCCTTCCCCGGCCAGCTCTACTACCCGCCTCCTGCCCAGATCCACCCTCCACGACCCTCTCTTCTGCCTTGGACACTTGAAATCCTTTTACTGGTTCTCTTGGCTCTCTGCCTCCTGTACTGGAATTTGATCTCCATCCATAGTCAGAACCTGGTGGGGTCCCTGCAGTATTCCCAGTACACAGAACAAAACTTAGCACACAGTAGGTGCTTTATGAGAACCTGCGAAAACTAAATTCATGCATTCATCAAACAGATATTTACTGAGCACCTACTATATACCAGGCACTGTTCTAGGCATGGGGTAAGGAAGTGGATGAATAAATGGGTGTACAGTGAAAATCCACAGTGCTACTTAGCAACTTTCCTTCTCAGCCAGGTATAGAAATCCACGGACGTCCACTCTGCCTGACGGGCCTTTCTGCATATTTTGGTTTCTCACCTTTGTCCCAAGGGCCTGAGCTGGTGCCTGACTTACAACCTCCTTATTCACAGGACAAAAAAAGACAGGAACAAAATACTGTGGCAGACTGGGATTAATGGTTTTATTAATGGTAACATTCATACTGCATTTCTAAGATTTACATCCAAAAGAGCATATTGTATTTACATGCAATGGACAGTCCAGGATAACAAATTCAAACCACAGCTCCGTTGACATCCTGGTTTGTTCCAAATTAAATTAAATACATAATACTCTTACCTCTTCCTTTCAACATGTACAGTAAAAACCCACTCTCCCTTCTTTTAAGGAATATAAAAATTGCATTGACAACTGCACTGATTAGCAACAATTACATTTGAAACGTTGAAAACCTGAGAGATAAGCCCAAATATGTTTGAGTGCTAACACGTGTACACTTGAACACTAGGTAATACAGACCGATCAGTGGTCAATCATGCATGATTTAGGTGGCTCTGACAGTGATTGATGGGGCTTGGGTTGGAAGCCACGCCTGCCTGAGGCATAGTGGGCTGTTCCCCCCACACTTCCTGGGCTCCTAGGCACCACAGATGAACAGGAGATATTGTTACTGTGGCTGTTATTTATTTATGCCTGTTTTCATTTCTTCTAGCTTTTAAGAGAGAAAAAAAATTTGGCCCATTCGGGTGGGGTTTTTACATTACAACACAGACATAAATAAAATATGCACGCGCTCATGGCAAGCACCTTCTTTCTTCTCCAACAGCCCAGCCCTGTCTTGTATCACCGGAGTGCAGAACTGTCACGGAGGCAAGCCCGACTCGGACAAAGTGGTCAAAAAAATAAATACACAACTTTTAAATGGACAGCTAAGCTTGTTGTTACAGCCCAGAGACAGTGCGTATTTCACTCCATGATCCTTTATTTTTACATTAAATACTGAAGACGATTCAGTGCATAACTGCTTTTTGGTCCCTCACCCTCTTTCGATAAGGCACTCCCATCTGAAGGGTAGGCTGTGTCAAACCCAGCAGCCCTCACCTGTGACACTTTACTTGGTCACTGAGATGACCCAGTGCACTGTTTCCATCCACCCCCATCGCTTCTGGAAACAGTGGGTCTCCTCTCACCAGGTGGGATTAGAAGCTGCACTCCCTGACCATTTTGAGGTCCCCCTTCCCTTTTCTCAAGTTTTGTTCTTTTCTCAGGGGCAAATGTCAACGCTCTCCTTGTTGTCAGTTTGGGTAGGCAGTACACCTGAGGCACATATTGTATTTTATTCTCCAGGGAATGTTCCAGACACATAATATTTGACCATCATTTCCTCCTTGTTCCCCATTTCTGACCCCACAGTCTGATGGGGGGGCAGGGAGCCAGCAGAACTGCCCTCATAGAACTGGTCTTTCTAGGGGTGGGGGAAGCCACAGGAAAATGCCTATTTGGGGTTATTCCCTCAGGAAATTGAGAAGGGAGCAAAACGCCCACAATTCTACCTAAAGGCTTCCCCAAAAATAAATCTTTCATACGGTCTCCCTTCCATTTTAGGGCCTTCCGTTTTTAAGGCACTGGGTTTTGAAGGCTAGCGAGGTCAGGAAAACTAAAAGACGTGGCAGACATGGAGAGGCAAACACACACGGCCAGATGAGAACAGTTACCCATGGTGACAGAAACGGTTTTCCAAAGCACAACGTCCTGTTAGCGTGTTACATGGGCAGCAGCTATTATCTGTTAACATCTCAGACTCAACGCTTTCCTCTGAACAAAATAGTTCATACTATGCTGATAAAATTAAATGCCCGTGAGTACCAGGTATTCGGTCACCACCAAGGAAGTATGACAGTTCCATTTCCAACACGTGTGAAGTCACAACCCCCGTAATACTTTAATGAGCTCAACAATATTTTTATCCCTTAATAAACCCCAGTTGATGCGAAGACTTTCGGGAGCACTTAATCAAATGTTCCAAAGTTTGGACCCACCTGGAAGGAGGAGGGTTATGCTTCCCGTGGTGGACAGTCTGCTGTTCTAGGAAAAAAAAACAAAAAACAAACAAAAAAAACACCACACCCTTGATGGCAGGAAAACGTCTGAGATTTTTAGAGCAATTTTTCATCCTGAACTACAATCAGGACTCACAGCTATTTGTCATTTGGTTTTTATCAGAAGAGTTCAGGTTCCGTCGCGGCAGCTCTCGCGGGGTCACTTTTTGGAATTGGAGCTGAAGCTGAACAGAGCGAGGATGTCAGTCATTGCTCGTTTCAGGTGCCTCCCGAAGCGATGAGAATCCTTTCATGGGAAAACAAAAAGCAAACACACGTCACAACGTGGCAACTCCCACATGTCGAGCCTTTCCACTTAGAACCTAACTCAAAGAACTAGCACCCCTGTCTGCCAGCGTCCCTAAGCTTCGACGTAATGGCTTAATCCTTGAGTCGCACGTTCAACAGACCTAACAGATCACATGCTGGTGGGGGTGGGTTTTTTTTTTATCTGAAGCGTACCCTAATGTCAATACATTATTACATAAAATGCATTACATGGCACTGGAAATGAACTCCAATCTCCTCTGTTAACAGTGAACTTGGCATTACCTGTCAGGCGATGCACCATGTGGAAAGGAGAGATATGAATGAGGGTTAAGGGTGCCGTGCTCAGAAGGGGGGCACGTGATCCCTCCAGAGAACACTGCAGACCCCTGCTTCGTCACATTTGTGTATTTATCATGTACACACTGACCCTCGCCTACCCTCCAACGTTACACAGTCTGAAAGTCACATGAGCACTCCGACACGGAGTCTTAAAACCACTGCTACAAGCAAACAGACATTTTCAACCACATAAGATAATTTCTTTAAAACTCAGGTAAGAGAATTTTAAAATTCATGAATGTGAATATGTCCAAATCAAGTCAAAGTACATAACTGAACTGAAATTTTCTGTCAACCTAAAGGTATGCTCCCCTCAAAAAAAAGAAAATGGTTGGGCCGGCCGAGTGGTGCATTGGTTAAGAGCTGGCTTGGGATGCCAGCTCTGAGCAGCAGGACCCCAATTCAGATACCACATGAGGGCGGGTGACACTACCCTCTACAGCTAAGATGGTGAACAACAGCTCAACCTGGAGCTGGGCTGCCATGAGTCACCGGTAACAGCATAGGCTGCAGCCCCTGCTGCAGTGGGCTGCCATAAGCTACCGTGTGTGGCTGGCAGCCAGAGTGAGCGGCCGGTAGCCGGTATGAGCTGCCAAGAGCCGCCGTGAGCGGCCGTCCAGAGGCCGGCGACCGATCTGCCTCGCCTGGGAAGAGCGCAATGATAATACCAACATGGACCAGTGAAGCAATGTCCTCCACAACTAGACTAAAGAACAAAAGGACAGCAACTTGTCTGTTCCCCTTCCCCTGATTCCCCAGCACTGTTCCCCTCCCCCAATTCCCCAATAAAATCTTTAAAAAACAAAGAAAACGGTTAAAAATACCCGATCTTTAGACAAGGGGACTTTGGTACTTACTGTCTCAGGGCTGGAGAACTTGGAAGATATGTGGAAATTGATGAGGTTCTCGCCCACCAAAATGTACGACACGCCGTAACCATCGTCAGCAACCTGCAGAACAGGTTGAAATTTAACCTCGGGAAGTGGGCCAACGTGGAGGGGGTGATTCCTAACATGCTAAACACAGGACTGCCGTTAACACCTGCATTACTAACCAGCAGGCATTCCTTCACAGCGCTCAGACCTGAGGCTGGCACGGCCTGTCCCCGGGACTCGCAACTCTGTGTACAGGGATGCCCGGTCACTTACCGGTCCAAAGCCCCCTCCGCTGGACACGTATTCTGGGTTTCTCTGCAAATCAAACAGCTCCACCTGCTGCTGAGGGGTCTGGCTGGTTGACAATCTCCAAGGCTCAGATAAGACCTGTAGTAAAACAAGGAAATGTCCCAGTGACACTCTGCCCAATCCCAATGGGGCTGGTGAGGACACTGGACGTTGGTGGGGGGCAGTCCCAGCCAACAGCATCACCAGAAGAAAAGGTGGCGGTTACGTTAAGTAAGATTTGGAACAGGGGATGAGGTCGCTGGAGCAGAATGGTACCAACTCCTGTCGGAAAGCTGCTCATTTTCAGGAATTTTTCAAGCTGCTTGTTAAACACAGTCAGCCATTACTAGAAATTAAAATTTATAAACTTAAACTCTATTAACAACAAAGGTGATAAATACTCAGAGCTTGTCACTTCCTAGTTGTCTTAGTATTTTTTACTATTATCTGTGCCCTGGAGGTTATTTATATGGAGTTAGGTCAGGACAGGAAATCAGAGCGCAAAACATTCCAGGCATTGAAGAAATGCAGCCTTCAACACTGCAGCTCCAATTTTCCACCACAGTGACGCTTAAGCCCCAAGACCTAACTGAGGCGCCAGTTCCGATTTGTAAAGCTGTCCAACTAATTTGCTACGCTTTGCTTTGGCCAATGGAGCCTGAGTGAGCTGCCATAACGACACGACTTACTTCCTTCAGGAAAGGGGACTCGACAGCCAGATACTTGGACACCACATAAAGGCAGAAGAGATGGCGGTCGATCCCAGAGCCGGTCATCGCGAGACGATATAGGTGCTGGTGCTTGTTGGAGGCCATCCTGAATAATCTAAGCCTCCGTTCAACCTAAACAACAAAGGATGGGACATTTCAGGTTTGCCGTGAGGCTCTAAGCACCAAGGCGAAAGTAAGCGGCCTTTCTCCGCAGTGGTCCCACAGGGGACCTGAAAAAGCAGGTGACCTGGGGTGTCCAGGAGAGATTGCCAAGGTGGCCTGGCCAGAAGCCCCACCCACTGACTGCCCCTTCCCCCAGGTTGTTAGAGAAGCACTTTGGGGGTCCTGTGTGCAGTCCGCTCAGCATCGTTTTACAAAAATGAGATCGCTAATGTAAAAATAAACAAACAAACAAACAGAGACACTTTAAAATGGAGTCACAGCTGCCATCCCAGAGGAACCACCTTGCACGTCTTATTCCTCAAACCTCTGGAATGTTAAAATTTAGGGCAAAATAACCTACGGACTGGACCTAAAGGAACATTGTGTCCCAAAGAACTTGTTTGCAAAGAAAACAAGAAAGCAGGTATTATGACGACCCTATCAGACTGAAAATTAAAAGCACTGTTTAGAATTAGCATCTCTATGCTAGCTGATCTGCACCAACCAACAGAATGCCTTCCTTCTATTGATGTAACTGTTCATCAGAACACCATTTGGGCTTCAGCCTGAATCAGCGCTCCCCGAATAGCGATTGTCGTTTTGCTGTCAAATAAATGCTTGTTGCCGCTCACTTTGGCCTTTTGCTTTAGGTGAATGCTACGTAGGCAGGCAAGCTCGAGTGATGGTGGGTCGTACGTATCCCTCCAAAGATATCTGCCTCACGACACCACTAAAAACAGCGCTTCTGGGCCTTCAAGTCTGACCCGAAAAGGTTGCTGCAGTTTCTTCTGGGCTCTGTTAGGTCAAGAATGAGTGGAGGTCTGTCCAGGCTGGGACCCACCTACTCAAGGCCTGGTCTTCAAGGCCGTTTCTGAAGGCAGCTAATAATAGGTGAGAGCAATCGGTCTTGATGCCTATTGCTTCCTTCCCCCAGAGTGGAAGCCTTTTCAGGACAAAAAATCCGCCCCCCAGCACAGCCGAGCACAGCAGAGGACCCTGGTCCATGTCTCCTGGGCATCAGAAATAAGCGCCTACGTGCTGGGTCAGGCAGACCCGGGCTGGATTCATCTGGTCTCTTCCTTTATCTATGAAAATGAACTGACAATGCTTCACAGGCTACCACTAGGATGTTCAAAGGCTATGTTTGGAAGCCCGAGCAGCAGCCTGCTCAGGGCTGCAGTCACCCTGAGCCAAAAGCGCCCGTGGGACGGTCACCATCTCGTCACCTAGACACCAACTAACTTACACTGTCCTATAGGACCAGCCTGCAATGCTTTTGTTCACTGTTCTAACTTAAAGACTCTTAGGAAGTACCACCTGATTTATACAAGTTACAGAATGACAGAGGACTGACACAAACTAACCTCTTTGTGTATGTCCCAACCGTTACATTTTAACACTTTCTGTTCCCTTGAAAGGGTGAAGGAAAGGAGAAGAAGTATGCACAGGATTTAATCAGAGAGGCCTCAGGAGTCCTTCTCTGGACATCGTGAAAAGCTCTGTTTCCGCAGCCTGGCGGCACATTACCGTCTGGGTGGGGTCCATCATGGCGAGCACGAAGTTGCACGACTCAGTGGTGCACGAACGCACGGTCTCCGTCCTCCCCTCTCGGTAGAGCCGGGTCATGGAGGCCTCGTACGTGAGGCAAAATTTGCCCATGTCCTGGGAAAGGAAAAGTATTTTCACACAAGGCATGCTGATAAACTCTAATGCAGAAGATGGGATCGGTGAAGGTCAGCAAGGAAAAGCAGACTTCATCCTTAGCTTTAGTTTTTAGTCATCGTCAGTTTTTACACGGGGTCATGCGACAGGCAGATGGAGACGTCGTTAGCTTTGCAAAGGACTAGGGGATCAGTTTCTGGGTAACCCAGGTTTCCATGTCCAGATGCAATGGATGCCACGGCACAATTTCCCGAGTTTCACACACCTGCCCGAGTGGGAACACAGTTACGGAAGGAACACACGACAAGGAGCTCTGCATGCAACTGTCTGAAATGATTTAAAGACGTAAGGTGTTGGCAGGAGATAGTCCACCATATTTAGATGATGTGAGAATATCTCGTAGAGAGACTGGTGTTTCAAGAGGGGGACAGGTCAGGAGGAATGTCCTTCAGCAGGAAGGCAGGTGGTCAGAGCCTGAAGCACCAACAGCGCCCCCACCAGACAGGGGTGAAGATGACGCAGGAGGAGCAGCTGTGGGGGCTGGTAGATGCTGCAGGGAGCAGCCGGGACATCACTTTGGAATGCTCTTATTTTCTGGATGAAACACGGTAGCCTGCTAAGAGTATGCAAGCATGGAGAGAGGTGCTGGGGGTCGGACAGGAGGGTAAACCGGGCATTTAGGGGCCTGAGAGGGGTTGCCTGGGGCCCGCCATAGTCGGCGCTTGTCAATCAAGTGAGATGAGCCAGGGATTTGGGGTTTTTCTCTGACCAAGCTGGCTGGCTTCTCAGGTGGGATGAAGCAGGCGAGGGCTGGGGACTCGACGCCCAGAGAGGAGAAACGCGACGGCAAGTGGCCGCAGGCCCTGATCAGGTCCCGTTAGACAGGGGACGGGAATGGCAGAAGCGCAGGTGGCCTGAAGCTGAGACCCTGGAGGTGCTGTGATGACAGCACAGCAAGGGCTCTGGAGGGTAGCAGCGGGTGAGAAGGACAGAGACGGGTCCCAGGAGCACGCGGCATCCAGCCACATGCACTGTAGGAGGAAATCATTTGCAATCTGTCCCAGGCCGGGTGTGTGCCCACAGCCACCAGGCCATCTCAGGGATGAGCAGGTTCCCAACATGGATGGGAAAGTGATAAGTGGCAGTGTGTGGACCCAAGTTTTTCCTGAGCAGACAACATCCCTGGGCACTCAGATGTACCCGGGCACAGGCCCTGGGAACCCCATGATAGAGGATGCCCCGTGACAGGCCAGTATTGTTAAGACAACCCAGGAAAGATATCCCCAACACCCAGCACAAAGAACACCAACTCACAACGCTCATCCTAATACACTTGTCACTAAATTTCCCTTGGGTGGGGTCCAAGAGGGTCCTACCTCCTCATCCTGTTCCTAAGCAGGGGTCCCACTTATTTACAAGCACGCCTTTCAGAGAGCTTCATATATAGGCCCCCTTATTACAAGGGTCTTCAAGGAGGCTCGTTATGAAGCAATGGGGGGGGCGAGGGACGGAGAACAGGAAAAAGTTTAAATCAGTATTTTAGTCATTTAATAAAGGTTAACTGAAGATCTATGATGCGACGGCTTATCGGACATCAGCTTCGCAACGTCAAACTGCATAAGTGTCAGTACCACCATGCAGCACGCCCACAACGGACAACGTGACCATCTAAACACCTTCTGGCAAATGCACTGGACATTAGTGTGATCAGACCTCTCACGGAGCCAAGCCAGTTCCGCCTGCAGCCCCACTTAACCTGCCATGACCAGGTGCCATCGGGAGCGCGGCCTCTCGCCACTGAAACACCTCCGGGGTCTAGCGAGCAGGGTCAAAAGACAACATCTATAAAGATATTAACACACACGGCATGAGAACCCAGACTATGACACGCTGAGATTGCTGCCCTGTGGCTAACTGTGCAGGGAGGTGGCACTTGGGGGCCTTTTCGCCACTCGTTTCCAAATGAAAAACATGGCGCCTAAGTAGGAAGCAAATGACTACAGGCCAGAATTATAACCACTGCCCAGTGTCTTCATCAATCAGTCATTATGCATATGTTTACTGACACCTCTTCCGCTGTGGCTGGCATGTTCCTGGCACTGGGAACACGGTGGCAAACGTGTCCCTGCCCTCAGGGCACAAACATTCTAGCAGGAGAGAGGGACATGATGTCATGTAGTGACAGGTGCACTGAACAGAAATGACACAGGGTTAGTGAGGAGACTGATGGGGTGGGGACTACAAGAAATGGTGGCACCTGAGCAAGGACTTAACCAATCACATCTCAGTCCAGGAGACAACAACTTCCGGTGGAGAGCAAGTGCAAAGGTCCCGAGGTAGGAATGAGCCTGGCATATGCAAGAGCAGCAAAAAGGGCAGTGTGGCAAAAACAGAGTGAATGGGGTCCAAAGTGGTGTTAGAGAAGACTGGAAGGTTAGACAGGAACCAGACCAATGGTTACTAACTTTGGGGATGTGTGAACTTGGAAGGAAAAAATATAAATGTTTTCATTTCTTCTAACCTCAAACTGAAATAAGTAATGTTTAGAAGCACAGGCAACAAACCACAGTAATTATGAGCAGTGCCTGAGACTGAATAGAAAACCATAGCTATTTTCACATGAAATGACGGTTGTTTGCACATATCCCAAAATATCATCTAGGCTTAAGCTTATCACTTCAAAATGACAGCAGCTATCAGACCTGCACTCAAAATTTGGTGCATAAAGAATCATATTTACTGCACCACAGATTTATGTTTAATCTCTTGACACCTGCATTTTAATTGACTAGCTAACCTGTGTAAGCTGTGTACTTCCTTTTATGCTTTATAAACGTTATTCCGGGAAGGAGTTCCCCAAGGGTTTCCCAAACTGCCCAAGGGTTCCTTCCAGGCACAGAGAAGGTTCAGAGGCCTGGAGCGGACCCCAGGCCCAGGCAGGACACCTGGGTGTATGCTGAGCCAACAGGGGTGGGGCTGGGGGCGTTGGGGGCTGTCCGGCTGGGCAGAGATGGCTCTGAAAGCTAGCTCCATGGAGAGCCCTGTCCCTGACAGGGCTGGTGCTCAACTGAGCACGCATTAAAAACTTCTGAATGGCTGACTCTGATTTACATTCTTCATAGATCACTTTAATAAGTGGATCACTTTGAATAGATTGAGTGCTATGTGAAGAACCGCAGCCTTCCCGCCTTCCTGGGTGTCTCTGTATAACCCTGCACCAGGCCTCCCCCCGACCACGCTTCTCCACTGTTAAAGCTTTCCCGCTGCTCCGTCTTCTGAGCAGACCTGCGCATGTTCCTGCCGCCAACTGCCCCGTCCTCACCTCACTCACGGAAGGAAGGGCATTCGAGAACAGTGGGGCTGCTGGAGGCAGCCTCACCCTTCTTGTTCTAATGGGGCTGCATCCACACACTCACCTTTAAAGCCATACGCTGGCCACGGACGCCTGATGGCATGTACCACAGTAAGGAAACAGCCCCTGCGACTAAGAGTTATGGGGAACGGATGTTATGTCCTCAGGGCCTTTTCTAGCATCTGTCAAAATGGCTGCCTGCTTTCTTCTCTCATCCAGTACTATGACTGACTCCATGCGTATTACTGGGTTTGCTAATACCACACCCCCTCCTGCTCTGGTATAAGCTGTTGTTAGTGAGTACATGTTCCCTGTACCAGTACATTCTTTGCGAATGCTGTTTTTAGGTTCTCTGCATTTATAATCGTGAGCAAAACTGGTCAATAGCTCTCTTTTCCTGGGTCTCCATCCGATAAGCTGTATCACTGCGGCTGAAGACACGGGTTCTGGAACGAGCCTGCCCGGACCCCAGCTCAGCCTGGGCACTGTGTATGTAAAGCGGGGACGGATAGGTGTCCTGCTGGGCCGCCTGCCAGGCACAGCGCAGCAGTGGGCGGGCTCCACGAGGCTCATCATCATGACCAGAGCGACACCGGGTCTGGGCCGATGGGGCAGCTCCCTTCCTTTCGGAACGTCCCTGCGCTCTCCAAAGCCGCGAAGCTGCCTCGAGCAGGCTTGCCGTGGTGGGCGGCTCTCCCACAACGTCCCACTTCGCTGCACAGGGGCCAACCTTCTGGGGCTTTCTCCCTCGTGCTGGGTCAGCTCTACTGATTTGTGCTGCCCTGGAAGATGATCACTCCATCAAGATCTTCAAATGGATTCCTCATTAACCTGGTGTCCATTATTAAAATCGTCTCTGTATCTGAGGAGTCACCACTTCTTTCTACAGCCCTAACACTGCACAGTTAGGTGCAACGTTTGCTTATCAATTTTAAATATCGAGCTTATTAGCCCTCAGATCCAATTCCTCGATCCCGTTCTATCTCGTAGTCACTTGACCGTTAGGCAAAGAGCTAAGTGAAAAGCCCAAAGGCGACCTCCACAGCTGCCACCTGGTTCCATTCCGGCCACATATGCGTGTCATGCTGGCAGGTCACCGCACCTCTCTGTGCCTCAGTTTTCACACCTGTGACATGGGCTAATGATGGTGCCTCCCGCTGAGGGGACTGTGAGAGTCATTTGTGTAAAGCACTCCGACCAGGACCTGGCACAAAGCAAAACTCAGACACAGTGGCAAGTGTTGTCACAGGGACACGACACACTGCATGTGTGCGCAGCACTCGAGTTTTAAAATACAAGTTTTCAACTAAAAACGCGATGTATCTTGAGCCAAGGCCACAATGACTTCTGCAGCCCCTGGAAACCAAGGGCCGCCCTCCCTGGGGTGGAATGTCCCCTCCAACAGGCAGGAAGTCCCATGTACGACCTCCCATGGGCCGGGGCTGCTTCCTCCAATGAGTCTGTCACGTGTGAGCCAAAATGTGACACGGTGCTGAGAGAAAGGGGGACGGAGATATCCATCCCAGAGAACCTCCAGGGGGCTGGCAGTGTCCCCTTGTAGGCAAGAGGGTGTCAGGTCAGAAACTTCAGTCAACTGCTTGAAGATTTCCGCTTTACCAAATTCGAGCAGTCTGAGCTTACTTTAAGGTTTAGCCTCCCCTTTGTGGAGCAATGCAGTCTCACTCCGTTTCCACTCCAGACTCGCCCGTCCTGTCATATAGGACGGTACTCCTATCTGCGAGTGACACCCATCCCGTCCCGTCTGAAACACGAAGCAAGACCCAGAGGGCTGTGCTTGCGCACCACGGGCTGCCCACCCCCACGGCGGGTCTCTGCCTTCCCTACCCAGGGGGGCAAGCAGCCCCGGGCCTGTGGTTAGGGACCCCCAACGTGCTCTTGCTAAAGACCCAGGCTCGTGGCTCTTACCCGGTAATGAGCCAGCTGGAGAGCCAGCTGCACAAAAGCATCCGGGCTCGTCCGGCATTTCTTGATCAGCCCTTTGCCGAAAGTGTCGAACGGAAAAGAATGGAAATCCACATCATCGGCCAAAAGGTTTGCACTGTTCAGGGCAGTCTCTATCACCTCTTGACACTGGAGAAAAGGAGAAAGGGATTTTGCTCAGTGGGGGGAAGTGGTGACACATACGCAAACGGAAACCACAAGCCCGTTTTCAGTGCAGCTAATGGAGCAGCTGCTTGGAGATGCACGTGTCCCGTTTTCTTCTTTGTTCTTTCCAGAAAGGTTATCCGGAAGCCGCCGTACATAAGCAATGTGGCCCCCGCCCCTCAAGAAGCAGTGGGGCGCCCCAAGCAGGCAGAACACAGGTAGGACACTGGGGCTTCTGGTTCTTGGTGGGACTCCAAAGCACATTTCCAGCGGCCACAGTGGAAATTATTCAGCGCTAGAAAGAAAAGAGCTTCCCAGCCATGGAGAGACATGAGGCAACGTAAATGCACATGACTGAGTGAGAAGAGCCAGTCTGCAAAGGCCACACGCTGCGTGATTAAGTCTGGGACATGCTGGAAAAGGCTCAACTGCGAGACAGTGAAAAGCTCAGTGGTTGCTAAGGGTTGGGGGCTGGGGGTGAACAGGTGGGGCGCAGAGGATTTCTGAGGCTGTGAGATACATGGTGTAGGACACTGTCATGGTGGGTACATGTCCTCAGACAACTGTCCAAATCCACAGAATGTCCAACACCAAGAGTGCGTCCTCGTGCAAACTGTGGGCTCCGGGTGACAATGACGTGTCAGTGCACGCCATCAACTGCAACAAATGTCCCAGCTGGTGGGGAATGTGGACAGTGGGGGAGGGGCAGGGGCACCTGGGAAATCTCAGCACCTTCCCCTCAATTTTGCTGTGAAACCAAAACTGCTCCAAAAACTGTTTAAAACAATTTTTTAAATAAATGGTGAGTGACACGGTCATCTACAAGGACCCTAAGCCTCTGACAGAGATTACACCTCTCAGAGGAACACACACCAGACCTGGGGACGCAGGACGGAAAGACACAACTGGGTAAGACTGAAACATTGGGCACATGATTTTCTACATCGAAAATGACTTCTTGGACCCTGGGACTTCCTACTTGGGTTAGATGAGCTAGGATTTGATACTTCCCACCCTAAAATTCCCTCCCGAAAGGGTGTATACCGAACGGACAACATCTGAAAATCTGTAAGAGGAACGAAAATGATGACTTAGTGATTTAGAGTGTTTCAACTCTAAAGGTAAAGTGATCTTTTTATTCTTTTTACTTTTTCACTGTGATGTATAGCTACATTTCAGCCGGAAATCTCACTGACAATCTTCGCTAAAAGCTTTAAATGGAAGAAGAGATATTTGCCAGGGTTTCCAAGGTAACAGGAGCCACAAGCCACTCCATGCCCCAGCAAAAATTCCTTAGGCGGACAAACTCCAGTCTTCGTGGCTATCCACTGAGCTGTGAACAGTCACAAAGTACATCTGGGAAATTCCCACCCAAGGTAATTAACAACGGTGACAATTCGGACTTACTTCCTCCGGGATGTCCCACTGGAGCCGGGCGGGGCACGGAATGTTTGGGTTGGTGTCACCTTTACAATGTCCATCCTCCAAATAACCCAGCTGAAAGCTGTCAGTGGCCAAGACATACTGTCAGGGAGAAAAGAATACATATGTACAGTCGGAGAAGATAGTACAGGTAATAGGGTTACATAAAATGGATCTGGCCTCCCAAAGTAGACAAAGGCTTGTTCTTTATGGGGATGGAATCAAGACTTCACAACAGTCCCTGAGGGTCTGTGCTCACAGCGCTTCGCACGTCATGGCCTCTGCACAGAGAAGGGAGTTGTTATCTCCATTTTCAAGCTGAGACAAGAGACCTGGCAGGCACAACAGCAGGCCAGCTGGTAGGAGCAAAGCCAGGATTTGAGCAGAAGGCCTGACGCTGCTGGGAGCATCCTTCCAAGTCCCGGCCATGGGCCAGTGTTCCCGGGGAGCCGCCTGTTGAATATTCGCGTCTAGCCCATAAGGCAGTGACCGTTATTCTCACTGTGTAAATGAGGGAGCTGGGCTTCCGAGAGAGAGAGGCGAAGCCACCTGTCCGAGCTGACACACCTCAGCGGCCAGGACCTGAGCACGGGTACGGATGTTGTCGTGCCACCATTTACTCAACGGTCTTTCCCGAGCACCTACGATGGGACAGCATCTCTTCTGAGCACCAGGGGCAGAACGGTGAACCAAACAGACAAGAATTGCTACCCTGCCTCGCAAAGTTAAGTATGACCACACAACCCAGCAATTCCAATTCTGGGTTTACACTCAAGAGCAATGCAAACATATACTCGCATAAAACTTGTGCACAACTGTTCACGGAGGCACTGTTTACAGTAGTCGAAAAGTGGGGACGACCCGAACGTCCGCCGAGGGATGGAAGGACAAAGCGCGGGCCATCGTGCAGTGGGACAGAACTCGGCCACAAAAAGGATGAAACGCTGACACGCGCCCCGATGGGGACGAGCCTTGTAAACGTGCTAAGTGAAGGAGCCAGACACGAAAGACCCCATATTGTATGATTCCATTTCTATGAAACGGCCAAAATGGGCAGATTAGGAGTTGCCAGTTGCCAGGGGCTGGGACAAGAGGAGAATGGGGAGCTTCTTTTGGGGGGTGATGAAAATATCCTGCAATGAGATAGTGCCGAAGGCTGCAGAACCACCTTGTGAATATACAAAACCCACTGAACTGTACATGTTGAGAGTGAATTTTATGATATGTGAATTCTCTCTCAATAAAAAATAATAAAACTTAAAAAAAAAAAGGGGGAATCCTTGAGCTCAGGGAGCTTACATTCCGGGGGGGGGGGACAATAAAACCTCCCATGGGCAAATGGTGACACTGTCAGATGGTGAGCAGAATGGGGACTCCAGGATGGGGGCTCGTGGGGGGCCACGAACACTCGAGGTCCATGCAGATCTGAGCGCATGAAGGAGACAGGCTACTTACATCTGAGCGGCTCAACATCAGAGCCCCCACAAGAGTCCAGCATATTAAACATCAGAACTACATTGAAAGGAAACAGGTTTCAACGTGACTAGGTTTGTCTTTGGCATGGCATGGCTGCACTGGCCCTTTTAATTTGGCACGGGTCTCGGTAACAAGAGACGGGGTCAGTTCCCCTCCATGTGGGGAGCATCGGCCCCTGGAGTCACAGGCCACTCTGCCGGCTGGGCGGTAACACTTAAACGCCAGCACATCTAATTGGTCACCCTGGTCTAAGACCAAATCTCAGTACCCTTCTCTTATGCAGAGTAGCTAAGAATTAGCCTGACTTCGTCAACACCCAGAGAGGTCGCCACTTGTAAATCGACCCTGTAGTGCATACTGCCTATGAAGTAGAGTCATCCTCCTTTTCCAAAGAACGGCTCTTATGCACCTATCAGAATGGGGCGTTAACAGGCCTGGACCATTATGCTCTGCTAAGAGGTCTAAAGTGGCTTGTTGTCCTGTCCACAGGGGCTGGAGGTGGATTGATGGTTGCTGGAATTGCAGCCGAAAGGACCCTACGTCTTTGTCGGCATCAGCAAAGGCTGCCGGTGGCAAAGAGCCCTTTTAGTACCTGGCGGCTTGTATCATACACCTGTCTTAGGACCACACCGCTGTCTTAAAAGACTGGAGCACTTTGTTTTGTCCCTTTTTATCCTTTTCCCCACCTAGAAAACCTCCCTTGGCTAAGGGAACGACATGTTAGGTTTCATGAAGACCCTAACCAGAGGCTTAAGACAGTCAGAAGCGGAGGATGAGCTGACAAGAGCCCCTAACCTAGTTCTGAGAGAGGGCTGGGGGAGGGGGACGCTGCCTAGAGGAAGGGGGGTCAAGTTGATACAGAAAAGGGCCAACGGCTGGGAAAAGAATGTTCTGGACAGAGATGAGAGCACGTGCAAAGGCCCTGCAAGAGGAAACACGACCCGCTCCAGAACCTGTTTAGCTCTAAGGGAAAAAAAACAGACAGGAACAATCTTCTAAAAAGAAACGTCGAGATGCAAAGCCTTCGTAGAAATTTTAAGAAAAAAAGAATGAGGGAAATGCATTAAGGTGTCTTCACAGCTTTACTGCATGGTATCATTTCAGACGCCAACGCAGGCTGCACACTCTGTGAAGGACAGAGAGGCAATCAGCCTGCAGCCATGGACAGGCATCTCCCACCTGTGCAGCGACTTCAGGGTCAATTTATTCCATTCCATTTATCTGAGCAGCAGCAAGTAGAAAGACTGTAAGAATTTGCAATGATATGGACGGAAATAGAGAATATTATGCTAAGTGAAATAAGTCAGACGGAGAAAGACAAATGCCACATGATCTCACTTATATGTGGAATCTAAACAACAGAATAAATGAGCAAACTAAACAGAAATAGTCACAGAAATATAGAGAAAAAACTGATGGTTGCTATTGGGTTGTCGGAAAAGTCATGATGTATTTTTTTCTGCTTTTCGTTGCAGAAATGCGTCGTGACTTTTCCGACAGCCCAATAGATGGGAAGGGGGTGGGGACATAGGGAGAGCGTAAAGGGATTAAAAAGTAGAAACATGTAGTCACAGTATTGACAGTTTGGGGAATACGATCAATAATGTTGTAAAGATTATGTGGGGTGTCTTATCAGGGAGACCACTTCATGGACGGTATAGATGCCTGACCACTGCTGTGTACACCTGAAGCTGAAGTTAAATAATATTGAATGTCAACTATAAAATATATATATAGTCATGGGATGTGGAGTACAGCATAGGAAATAATCAATAGAATTGTGACAGCTATATACGATGTCAGAGGGTAGTAGATTGGGGAAGGGGGGTTATCACTTTGTGTAGGGTATAAATGTCTAACTATCACATCGTTTTGTACACCGGAAACTAATAAAAGAGGGGCGGGGAGGGAGAGAGAGAGAGAGAAACAAAAAAGCCTATAAGAATACAGTCTTCGTGTGCAGTATGACTCTAAGAGGGCTTGCTGGGACCAGCCGAGTGGCTCGCTGGTTAAGAGCTGGCTTGGGAGCACCAGCTCTGAGCAGCAGGACTGCCGGTTTGAATCCCACATGAGGGCCAGTGACACTGTGCCCTCTACAGCTAAGATAGTGAACAACAGCTCAGCCTGGAGCTGGGCTGCCGTGAGTCAATGGCGATGGTATAGGCTACAGCAGAGCTGCAGTGGGCTGCCATAAGCTACCGTGAGTGGCCGGTAGCTGGCGTGAGCTGGAGTGAGCGGCCGTCCAATGGCCAGCGACCAACTGCCTCAGCCGGGAAGAGCACAATGATAATACCAACATGGGCCAGTGAAGTGACGTCCTCCATAATTAGACTGAAGAACCAAAGGACAGCAACTTGTCTGTTCCCCTTCACTGTTCCCTCCCCAATTCCCCAATAAAGTCTTAAAATAATAATAATAATAATAATAATAATAATAATAATAATAATAATAAGAGGGCTTGCTGATTTAACAAAATGTTACCTCCAGTCCCATCAAACCAACAAAGGATGGAATCTCTGGGTCAAGTCCACAGACTGATGACCCAGGAGGTGAGCAACTTCTTTAAACAAGAGCCCGACAGGTGAGTTAAGAAAACGAAACTTCCATTCAACGTTTCATACCAAACATGGAACAGTGGGAACAGTTCAGAGAGATTCGAAGTTTTAAAAGTTTAAGAAGGTACCAGGGCCAATCCACATGGTAGTTTAAAAAGCTGAGGGGAGGGAGATGACAGGGGGCTTGGTGGTTTTTCAATAACTTGGTAATTTTAAGAATGAAATGATCTGGGAAACAGCATGCTGCCTTTTTATAGCCAAGATTTCAATACGCTTGCTTTTACTTGGCCTAAAATGCGGCAGATTAGGAAAACCTAGAAAATATAGTAATGAAGGGATGGCTTCTTCCAGAATAAACCGGGCTCCGGCTCTGCCCTGAAGTCACAGCAACTGCCACTTCATTCTGTGGTTCCATCAGGAGGTGGTGTCACATGTGTTTCTATGCAAAAACCTAAGTTGCAGGAAACAGAGACATGAACGCCTCTCGTTTAAGTCATTTAACTTTCTGTGCAGTACCAACACGTGCTGAAAATTCTTAGGATGCAGCCAGGCAAATATCACAAAACTGCATACCCTCTGGGGTTTAGATTTCCTCCGAGTCAAACCTGCAAGAACTCACCTCCCAAAAGTGGCCCATGATGGGTGCGTCGGCCCAGGAGTGCTCGGCATTCAGGCCCATCTTCCCGTTTTTGAAGACAATAAATGTGAACGACTTGTCAAACCACCTACGGGAAATAAAAATGTTTATGTAACTTAAATGTTTAAAACGACAATAAAGAAAACCTTTGCTCTGGATGAGCTGGTTGACTTTGCACCCACCCCTCAAGCTCGCGAGTGTAAGTGTCTATGGGGTAATGATAAAAGCATGCAGGACCCCAAGTCCTTCATTTTTTTCCCCGTTCCAGACACAATGTACGAGAGACGAGGAGAACAGGTCTTCTTACAACGTAAAAGGATGCACAAAGCAACTGTGGAGGAAAAGGAGGCTACGCAGCCCGCACCCCCTCCCCCCCACCACAGGGATGCCTGCCCCCAACCTGACGGGCAGGCAGGACCTCACTTTACAGCTAAGGAGAAGGTGGCTCCAGGACGTGGGACAGCCTCATAACGTCAGCGGACCAGTGAGCAAGGCTAGAGCCCACATCCAGGTCAGGCCCCGTCCACCACCTTCTCCCGCCTGGTTCCAACTGACTGGCAGCCACACCTTACTAGCACCTCCAAACAGAGGTGGTTGCGTACAGAGGGCAAAAATCTCAAATTTGCTGCTTCTCCAGCTGCGTGTGTGTGTGCGTGTGTGTGTGTGTGTGTGTGTGTGTGTGTGTGTGTGAGAGAGAGAGAGAGAGAGAGAGAGAGAGAGAGAGAGATATTTTTGGTGACAAGAAGAAAATTAAGGTATGTTTTTATGCTAGTCTTATTCCTTAACCTTTTCACTGCGATCATTGATTTCAAGCCTGTTCTTCAAAATGTGTCCAAAATCCACAGAAAATAATTACAGTATTTATATGTTTAAGTAAATACAGTCAAGGTGATACATTGTATTAAAATAAACTATTACTTTAAAGCATAAAAATTTGCTATCGTTATTCATTCTTGAAAAACACAAAAATATAGAGAAATGCACCTCTCTGCTTTCCTAAACCTCCCCTCTGGAGCACTGAGCTCGTGGGGTCAAGTTGAACGCCGCAGTCGGCGGCAAGGAAACATCATTCGACTACAGACGAGCGTCGCAGCGAAAAGGTTAAGAGGAGAGAGAACTTGGGGCTGGGGTCAGCCACGTGCGAGGTTTCTTCCAAGTTCACGGGCAGACTACTATCTTTCAGAAAATTAGTCCATTACCTGTCAAAACACTTGCCATGCAGCAGAGACTTGGCGTAGCTATCCATTGATGTATCCGGATCCTCCTTCTTATATCCCTGCTCCGTTTCATCCAATGTCACGAAGAATGCTGCCTTTTCCACAGCATCGAGAGACTGCTTGTTTTTCCCACGTCCAAAATAGGTTTGGCGACACTTGGCCCAGGGCACCCTGCAGCGAGGATTCGATACAGTTAGACCTGCAGCAACAGGTGACGTCTCCTTGCACACGAGGTTTGACATGACAGTGTTTTTCAGTTTTGTAGGAAAACCACACGTTTGAGATTTTCTCCGTCTGCAGTTGTCCGACTGCCTGCCAGGTGGAGCTCCGCTTGCGGGCAAGAGCCTCATTATCTCCTCGTTGTCTGTTCCCACAAGGCCTGGTATGTCACTGTTCAATAAATGCTGACTGACTCGTGAGCTCAGCTGTCTGGGGGCCACAGCCCCACACAGAGAACTCTCCTACCCATCCTCCCCCACCATGGGGACAGTCCTAAATAAGTTCTGGCAGCGGAAGTCACAGCAAGTATGCGGGAGCCCTCCCGTCGTGCCAGGCTCCACTCCCAGCCCCGTCCATGGACTGGCTCGCTGACCTACACTACCACTCCCATCCTTCAGATGACAAGACTGAGGTACAGAGGTGAGGTCCCTGCTACTTTGTGGCAAGGGGGGATTCAAGCCCAGGCCAGCCTGCCCCGAGTCCACACCGCTAATGACACAGGACACCCCATGATGTGGGGTGCCCCAGGAGCCAAGTTCAGGAGACTCCTTTCTGTCCCACCTTACGCGGAGCTAACGTGACAGCCACTTCTCCAGAGTCGCCCCAGCCATGGCTTCCTCTCATCGCTCCTGGGCTCCCTGGCCCGAGCCCTCCCCAGATCCTGTGCCCCTGCCCACCCTTCCAGATCAGAGTCATCTGGCCTCTATCTCCCACCTTTTCCTCTCCCCAGTGCTCGGCCGAGGCGGTCCACGGGTGCCCACGCGCCCCTGCCAGCTCCTCCCAGCCCTCGGCCCCGCTGACAAGCGGCACTGGGGACCTGGGGTTCATTCCCCAGGACGCGCCCCACTGCTGTGCGTGGACTCAGTCGTGGCCGAATTCTCCTGGCTCCTCAGATAAGACGCCCCTTTCGCTCACACTGCCCATTTCCCATCCTCACGGCTTGGGGACCCCCTCTGCTTCTGGGATCAGAATCATCTCGTAAGTCTGCTCTCGGGTCACTCCAGCCTAAAGTGGTCCCTTTACTGGCACCCGGTCACAGGACCAAACCCAAGTGTAGCAGGGCACACGGGACCCAGCCTGCCTCCCGGTCCAGTGTCCCCAGCATGCTGTGCTGCCCCGGCAGGTGGCCCGCCCCAGACACTCCTGTCACCCTGCATGCCCTCACCACGGGCATTTTCCTCTTCTCTGCCGAAGGGTCACTCCCCATCTTACTCCCAGCACTGCGGTAACAGGTGTCACACTGCTGTACCTCAGGGGTTCTCAAGAGACCCTAAGTCCCCCAGCGACACTGGGCAAATCTGAAGACAGTTGTGCTATCACAACTGGGGAGCTGCTACTGACATCCCGTGACTCCCCCAACCCCAAACAATTATCCAGCCCCAAACATGGAGCCGAGGTCGAGTCAGCCTGCCCTGAGTACCTGTACACGCCCAGTGCTCAGAATGGTCTGTAGACGAGGCAGGAAATGAGCCCTAACACAGAGCCCTTGGTTGAAACTCATTCTATTTCTTAAACTAAACATAAAGCAGCCCCATAAGAAAGCCTAACTCCTTACTTCTCTCTGTCCTGTGCTCTGGTACCTGTACACACAGAGATGGCCAAGGGGACCCAAGGGTGGGGGCAGGACCTGCTCCCTCGGAACACAGCCGGGCTAACGAGGGCTCTGGTCTCGCTCTGGTGTCCCCGTCGACCTCGGGCACACGCCTCCCCTCCAGATGGGCCCCCGGGGAAGATGAGAACCACGCGCTGCCCCCACAGCCCGAGACACGACCGGTGTCACAGGGGAGCTGCACACCTTTCTCCCGCAGTGAGGGCCGCCAGTTTCGCCTCCCCGGCCTGAGGCTCCGAAGGGTCATCCAAAATCCTCTGTATTTGCTGCTCGATCTCTCGGGGCTTCAGCAGCCGGCCGTCATGGTAGAGCCAGACCTTGAAGTAGCGCCCTTTATGGAACACGACGATGTGCTTGCTGTCCCTTATGTGCTGGATGGTGTCTGGGGGGAGGGGCAGGGCGACACACAAAACCCATAAGCACAGGTCAGAGGGCGGTGAGAACATCACCCCCAGCGTTTCAAGGGCACCAGCTGCGCCCCCGGCATCACTCCACTCAGCTTACGAGTCCGTTTCTCGAGAGTCTGTAGAGGGTCAAGTGCAGCATCAGAGCTGAGAGCTCTGGAATCAGACAGGCCTGGCTTGCAGGCCCTGCTCGGCCGCTCACTGGACGTATCATCTCAGGCCAATGACTTGACCCTCTCTAAGCCTCCATCTTCCCATCTGTAAAATGGAGCTAGCTCTCTCGTTCGGATGTGCAAGAATGAAAAGACAGTATCTCGTTCCTGGTCTCAGAGGAAAAGATTTTGGCTTTTCCCCAATGAGTCTGCTAGTTATGGGCTTGTCACATGTGGACTTTACTATGTCGAAGTACATTCTCACCACATTTATTCAACGTAATACTGGAAGTCCTAGCCAAAGCAATTGGGCAAGAAAAAGAAAAAGGCACCCAAAATGGAAAGGAAAACTGTCACGATCTACAGACGATATGGTATCATAGACACAAAACCCTAACCACACATTGTGATATATGTATTACAGAACTGTACACCTGAAACCTATGTAACTTTACTAACGATTGTCACCCCAATTAACTTTAATTAAAAGAACAAAAACAAAAACAAAAACCCCTAACGACTCCACCAAAAAACTGTTAGAACTAATAAGCGAATTCAGTAAAGCTACAGGATACAAAATCAAAAAACAAAACCACAGGCTGGCCCAGTGGCACGTTGGTTAAGAGTTGGCTTGGGATGCCAGTTCTGAGCAGCAGGGCCCCTGTTCGGATTCCACATATGAGGGTCAGTGACACTGCCCTCTACAGCTAAGATGCTGAACAACAGCTCGACCTGGAGCTGGGCTGCCGTGAGTTGCCGGTGACGGCATAGGCTGCAGTGAAGCTGAGTGGGCTGCCATAAGCTACCGTGTGTGGTCGGCAGCCAGCGTGAGCAGCCGGCAGCTGATGTGAGCTGCCAAGATGTGAACTGACATTAAGGATGGAAAGTGCCAGTTCCCTGAGGGACCCGAGGACGTGCTACTCACCGGTTTCTTCCCCTGGGATCCGGGACGTGTTGAACATTCGCTCCCACTGAGCGGAGCAGAGCGGGACGGTGGATCCCAAAAGGAGAATCTGTGACAGAAATACGAGTCAAACTAACAAAAATTCCACAGTGCGGGGAAAAAAGAGCAAAATCAGGCTACACATTCAAAGGCTGGATTTGTGTTCTGTGCACGCAACATGATCTGACTTAATTTTTCCCGGTCTCCATAAAGGACAGCGGTTCCCTGGGGTGCCAGGCTTTACTGGGGACACGCTGAACCACGCCAGGGCACAACTCCCTATGGCGTTACTTCCTAAACGACACGCTTTCATCGGTCACATGGAAACTGACGTTTAAACCGAAGGAGTATTTACAAAAGAAATGTCTTGTTTCTCTTGAGGTGTTCACCAGCTAAATTATTTTCCTTCAAAAGTTAAGTAAGAGTTTCTTCAAGGAGCAAACTACAGAACTGAAGTACATCAGATGCACATCCATGTAGGACACACAAGGAGAATTAAATCTCACAACACTTATGCAGGACTGCTGGTTAGCTCAGGCGGTTAGAGCGCACGCTCTTAACACCAAGGTTGCTGGTTCAATCCCCACATGGGCCACTGAGCTGTGCCCTCCATAACTAGATTGAAGACGATTTGACTTGGAGCTGAGTGGGTCCTGGAAAAAACACACTGTTCCCCAATAAAGTTTAAAAAATAATAATAATTATGCAGAGTGAAAGAAGCTAGACCAAAAAAAGTGCTTACCATGTAATTCCACCTATAAAAAGCTTTGGAAAACGCAAAATTGTCTAAAGTGACAGAAGGCGGACCAGAGGTTACCTGGTGGGTGACTGTTGGAAAAGGGCACAGAAAGAGAGAGGGAACAGGGTAGGGTGGCTGTCACAAGGCGCACAAGGAAACTTTTTGGGGTGATGCATATGTCCACTATCTTGATTATAGTGATGGCTTGATAGGTGTGTGCGCATATATATATATATATATATATATATATATATATATATATATATATATATATATATATATCACCATTTTTGCTGTGTATAATGCACACCCACTTTTTTGACCCAAACTTTCAGGGGAAAAAAATATTTTGTTTTAATTTTTTAATTCAAATTTTTATTTGTTAGGGCCGGCTGAGTGGCTCAGCTGGTTAAAAGCTCGCTCAAGAGTGTGAGCTCTGAGCAACAGGGTCACTGGTTTGATTCCCAGCCCAAGCTGAGCTGCCGCTGAGCTGCCAACAGGTGGCCAGGTGGCTCAGCTAAAAAAAAAAGGTACATTTTTATTTGTTTACATTTAGATTTTTTGTATTATAAAGGAATTTTAGCACTTATCTGTTTAACATATTATGGTAGAAGAAATTTTATGTAACAAATAATTACAAAACACAAGAACAGATACAAGGTACAAGAAAGTTTATGTACCGGTAACAAATCTACGATATTTACACATCATAGGCCAAGAACTCTTCATCATTGCAAGTTTGTTGTAAGTTCAACAAAACCAATGATCATATTCCAGGGTATTATTTTGCTTATGGATATCGTTGTTGACTTTTAGAGTTATACTTTTAACTTATAAGCATAAATAAAAGAATTAAAACATTTATATAGATACGGAATTAGTACTACCCATGTATAAGGTGCATCCTTATTTTTCCCTCACAAATTTTGTCCAAAAAGTGTACATTTATACACAGCAAAATACGGTGTATGTCAGAACTTACAAATTATATATACTTCAAGCATGTGCAATAAACGAATTACACCTCAATAAAGCTGTTTTAAAAGAATTTTTAGGGCTGGCTGAGTGGCGCGTTGGTTAAGAGCTCGCTTGGGACTCCAGCTCTGAGCAGCAGGACCCCAGTTCGGATCCCACATGAGGGCCAGTGACACTGCACCCTCTACAGCTAAGATGGTGAACAACAGCTCGACCTGGAGCTGGGCTGCCATAAGTCACCGGCGATGGTGTAGGCTGCAGCCCCTGCTGCAGTGGATTGCCATAAGCTACCATGTGCAGCTGGCAGCCAGCCTGAGCGGCCGGCAGCCGATGTGAGCTGCCGTCCAGAGGCCGGCGACCGATCTGCCTCACCCGGGAAGAGGGCAATAATACCAACATGGGCCAGTGAAGCAACGTCCTCCACAACTAGACTGAAGAACAAAACGACAGCAACTTGTCTGTTCCCCTTCCCCGATTCCTCCCCAATTCCCCAATAAA